GATTAGTAACTTTAGGTTAGTGTTAGTTACTGAGGGTTAGGGTTAGTAACTATAAGTTAGTTACTGAGGGTTAGGGTTAGTAACTATAGGTTAGTTACTGAGGGTTAGGGTTAGTAACTGACGTAATGGTTTGGGAGGTGGCTGGCACTCATTCACCCGCAGGCTTTTCCATTTCTGTCACGTCCGTGATCATTTTAGGAGAAAGTCATGTTCAAACGTGGCCAACCACGGCTAATTGAGCTTTCGATTTGCCAGAGCAGATAACAGGTATCAGGAACTTCATCAGACACCCCCCCACCCCCCTCAATTTTTTTTATGTTTTTGTCAGCTTAATTAAGCTGCTGTAATTGCTTTGGGTTGCTTGTGTTGGGCTTAATTCTGTCTGCTGCTTTTCATGGTCAAATCTTCTCATTACAGTCACAGCTTTTTTCTTTTTTTTCTCCATCCACGTCTCAGGCTTTTGAGCGATCTGAGAGCTCCGAGGTGGCCTTCGTCACAGAGTTGGTGAAGAAGCTTCTCATCATCATTTCCCGTCCTGCCAGGCTGTTGGAGTGTCTGGTAAGTTCACACACAGCTCTGGTGCAATAGCCTCAGCACTCTCGCTATTACGGGCCGAACATTTCACAGCTCGTAAGGCCAAACATGATGCAAATTGATTTCCCTAAAATAAGTATGCGCTCACATACTGATCTGTAATCCTGTTAGACGCATTTAAATGGCCTGACGTATCACACGGTGGGGCAGGGTATATCATAGCAAGCGGGAAAAAGAAGTCGAAAGCTCGGTTTTAGTCTTTTCGAGGATATTTGCATTTAGATTAAAATTTCTCAGCGCACAGACTAGCTAATTCCTGCAGCCCCCTGTTGATTGGCAGCTTTCCAGCCTGACTCAGCCAGACTGTGACCATGGTTTCCATCAAAGTTGGAAGACGCCGGAGAGTGGGTTTATCTGCGTTCGACTGTGTTTCATAAAAGGATATCAGCCCCTGAGCCCCTGTGTGAGTCACGCCATGCTGACGTGGATTCTGATGACTGACAGCTCAAATAGTGACGTTGGAAATGGATTCATTGATCCGGTTCAGCCTCGGGAACATCGTTGCTTTTGATGTTGTTGAGGTCCATGGTTTTTTTTTTTAGCATCATTAGTAGCCAGGTGCAAACGGGCAGTCAGGAGCCGCTCGTCATGGAGGGTTTTGATTAAGGAGGACGATGGCGAGCGGCAGATGGAGAGCAGAGCTGGAAAGTTTTTCCATTTTCTGACCTGAGGCATCAAATTAGCATCTAATTATCTAGACAAAGCATTGACAAAGACAGCCAATACTTTTGTTCACATGGGAATATCAAACAATATTACCCTTTTTATTAATTAATCTTATCAATTATTTTATATTATTCCATTATAACTTAAACATACAATATTGCATGATGTTTTTTAGAAGATCTATCTATCTATCTATCTATCTATCTATCTATCTATCTATCTATC